TCATCTGTATGTGCCTCCGTTTTCCCTCCTATCCTGTCTGTCAAGCTTCTTTAGACTGTGAGCTGTTCAGAGTAGAGACTCTTACTACATAACTGTACAGTGCCTAGCACAATGGGGTCCTGATTTCATTTGAGGCCTGTCCATGTTATTGTAATACAAATAATAAACAAGGATTTTCCCAAACTGTACCAAAAAAAATCAGAACAAAAACAAATCTCACCTTTGGGAGGAGACATGTGAAGTGGCATTTTTTCCAGAAGTTCTAAGTGCCTGAAAACAAAGAATTATAATAAAAGTGCCATTGGAAATAGATGCAGCAGCACAACAAAATTAAAGCTGTCAAATGTCAGCCCCACACTCCAGAGCCTGTAAATGCCCAGAACATCACCACTATCGGACCCGGGCCACAATCACGTGTCTCTCCTCTGACTTTTTGTCTAGAGTGATATTGTTGGATGGAAGATACACAGTTCAATTAATTAAGCTCTGATGCTGCACATACTTAACTTTACATACCGCGAGTAACCCCACTGACATCAATGAGTAAAGTTAAGCTCATATGTAAATCTTTGCAGGATCGGTGCCCTTGTTTGTACATCTAAGCACAATCTTTTCCCTTCTTTGTGCTTCTATTCCTCCTTTATTCTAATGAAATCACCCTTAGATGTTACTGTCCCTGAAATACCTCTCCATGACCAGAGACTCACCACAAACATTAAGAGGTCTGCAATGCTGTCCCTTTCTCATGTAGACAGTGTTGTTGTTGCGCCCCAGATATTAGAGAGTCAAGGTGGATGAGGCTATATCTTTTATTGAACCAACTTCTGATGGGGAGAGAGACAAGCTTAGAGGTAGAAGAGCTCTGTGTAGCTTGAAAGCTTGTCTCTCTCCCCCAACAGAAGCTGGCATGCAATGAAAGATATTACCTCACTCACTCTGTATCCCTTTCTCGTGTTAGTTACTAGTGTTACTCACAGGAGGATCTGAACAAGTAAAGGGTTGGGAGGATGGGTCCCAATCAAGCACTCACATTCTCCACCAACAAGATCTGCTAAATGTAAAACACACCGCCACATCACTTTGTTCACATTTCTAACCTCCCACCTGTCACACATGTAAACACCCACCGCATTCCTGCCCAGGGAGAGCGTGCAAAACCTAACCCACTGAAACCCCAAAGGATTTCTGACTGAGAGAGGAAAACCTATTAAATCTTGTGCTATGCAGTGGCATCCAAGATGTGTCCGGTGCTTTCCATCCATGGGGGGGGGGGAGGAGAGGCAGCCCCTAACCTAGAGAGCTGGCATACACACCAGATCATGAGTGATAAAAATCAGCTGAGTCCCCTCTACCCAGCTTCCACACCTGCGCATTTCCAGCCTCAAATGATCAATGCCCTGAATCTCTAGGGACAGGAAGTGGCAGCCCTTTCCCTTGTTCTCACTGATCCGGGGAAGGAGGGGCGACCAGGTCCTGGGCACGCTGCAGGGGCCCTGAAATGCCCCTTTCTCCTCCTCAGCTCGCTGGCCTATGGAGGAAGCCGGTGGGCGACAGCTCCTTACCTGCTGAGCCGCCTGCTCTCCTCGGCTTTCTCCACTCACTAGCTCCTCTCCCGGGCACTCAAGTCCGGGGACTGTGCAGCCCGGCCCCGGCCTCGGCCCCTCCCTTCTCTCCTCCTAGCAGCAGAGGCCGAGTCCCCTGGGAGAGAGAAACTCGACCCAGTTTCCCTCTGTGTTTGCTATGTACACAATGGAAAGGCAGGGCAGTTTCAAAGTCTATTGCCACTGAGCTAACCAGGTGAGAGTGTCAGAGCAGTGAGTAAAGCCATTGTGGTTTTTTTTTTTTTTTTTTTTTAATATTCAATGCTGCCCCTTTGTAAGATTAACAATCTCTCTTGGCAAATGTACTGCCAGGCAGGGCAGTTTCTTTTTCACCCTATGTCTCTAGAGTGACAAATAGTCTTATTTTGTTAACAGGGCTTTGTCAAGCATATATAAATCACTACACAATAATGATCAAGGTGCAGTGCATTTCCAGGGGGTTAATAACCATCTTGGATGAAAGCCACGGCTCCAGGTGTGCAAAAGCCAAAATCATTAACTCCAGTCGTCACTAACTACTTCATTGCTGCCTAATGTGCCAGTGAGTTGGGGCAAAGTGCAATCCCAAAGCCCTTTGAAGTTGCATTTAAGAGTATGTGATGGCTCAATCGCATTGAATGGCAAGGAACACTCAGCAGTGACTTGAGATTAGTGTTATGTATCTTGCTGTTGCTGAGTTCTGGGACAGGGGAAGGAGTATGAATCTCTTTTAAGGGGAGATGTGGTTTCAATTAATCTGTACAGGGATTTTCTATTGACTTGGCCCCAAACCTGCAATGTGTTCCATGCAGAATAAAGAACAGGAGTACTTGTGGCACCTTAGAGACTAACAAATGTATTAGAGCATAAGCTTTCGTGGACTACAGCCCACTTCTTCGGATGCATATAGAGTGGAATAAATATTGAGGATATATATATATATATACACACACAGACAGAGAGCATGAATAGGTGGGAGTTGTCTTACCAACTCCGAGAGGCCAATTAAGTAAGAGGGGGAAAAAAAACCTTTTGAAGTGATAATCAAGATAGCCCAGTACAGACAGTTTGATAAGAAGTGTGAGAATACTTGAAAGGGGAGATAGATTCAATGTTTGTAATGGC